CCACACCCACACCCACACCCACACCCCACACCCTCGAGCTGGCAGATGAGTGGATCCAGTGCTTGTCTACCGACTCGGTTCCAAATAGGATACCGTCGACAAAATACTCACTCCATGAAGGCAAATATGGAATACTCCGTATGCGATATTAAATTACTCCTTTTGATACGTTGACTGTGTGTTTGGCGCCAGAACAACACGGAATTCCGAAAGGCATTATCTGGGATTTGATGAGCCATGTATTCTGTTCGTCCTACATCTTTACGTATCAATATGTATTGATCAATGACAAGAATATCGCAGTTATTCTTTATTGGATTAGAAAAATGAATCACTCAAGTTCTTGACAAGAAACGGTGGAGATAGATAGTCTACGAATGGCATTTTCAGTGTCCATTAGTGTGGAATGATTCTCAGATTTGGTCATCTGATAGAATGACCGCGCCTCTTTCAAATGTTTCAGTGCTTCATTGATTTGATTTAACTTTTCATACGTCAGAGCAACATAGTAGAGATCATCGCCAATATCGCAGCTATTTCTGCGGTTTTGTTCTCGACGGATGGCCAAACATCGTTGATAGAATTCCAGTGCTTGATCAAAGTGATTACTGTTCCAATAGAGATGAGCGATGCTTCTGTAACTAGCAGCAATATTTGCATGATTTGGGGATAATGTTTTTTCTCTAATGGCCAGTGATTGAGAATAGAATTTCAGGGCGTTGTCGTACTTGTTTTGTGCTTGGAACACAATCCCGATATTATGAAGAGAATCGGCTGTATAGGGATGATTTGCTGAAAAATATTGTTGAGCTAATTTCAAAGCTTTCTGATGATATTCCATTGCTTCCGTGTAGTTCTTTTGTTTTCTGTAAATGTCACCTATATTATTTAGACAAGCGAAACGATCAAAATGTTTCGATGCGATATTTCTGGAATGAATTTTTAAAGCTTCGAGAGAATGTTTGAGAGCTTGATCAAGTTGGTTTGTCTTCTTTAAATTGATACCAATATTGTTCAATGATTGCGCAATATCAGCATGTGTGTTCGGAGAAGATTTTTCCCGAATATGAAGTACTTTTCGATGAATTTCAAGTGCATCTTGAAATCTGTTTTGGCTGTGATAAATCTTGGCTTTGAGCTCAAAAGTATCTGCGACGAGTGGATGATCGTCCGAGAAAAGTTTCTGTCGAATAGCCAATGCTCGTCTACAAGAGTCCAGTGCATCATGGTAATCGCCTTGTTGCCGTTGAACAATACCAATATTATATAAACTTTCAGCTATATGTGGATGATCCGGTGGTAAAATTTGTTGACGAATCTGGAACGCTTGTTGGAAAGCATCGCGTGCAGCACTATAATTTCCCTGTTCGATTTCAGTACTGCCAATATGATTAAGACAGATGGCTTTTTCTCGAAGATTTTCTGAAGGATAATCATTGTGTAATTGTAAAGCTTTACGATAGTGTTGCAAAGCTGTATCATAATTGTTTAATGCGTGGTAAACATTTCCTATATTAATCAAGCTGCGTTGAATATTTATATCATTGGGTCTCAACTGTTTTTCGCGCATATTCAATACATCCTGGTGCTTTTTCAGTGCTTCCTCCAGTCTTCCTTGCTCTTTTAATGCCAGAGCGATATTCTCCAATGCGATTGTAGCATCCAGAATCCGAGGTGGATTGACTGTGATCAGAGTCTTATACACTTGATCATAGTGTGTCTTCGCTTGATCCAGTTGATTCTGATAGAATTTTGTCCGACCCAGGTTCAATTCGATCCAGATTCGATCTTCGTCATTGGCATTGTGCAGAAGCTGTTCTAAGTATTGTTGCGCCTTTCGATATCGACCCAATTCACATAATAGCATGACTAGAGATAAATCAGTACGTTTATTTTCTAATGCATGACGTTTCTGTAGAAAATAGGAGTCAGTGATGGATAAAGAATCACCAGCAAGTTCTAACTGAATGACATATTTCTCGTCGTCCCGGATGACTGCTGTGATTTTAAATGGAGTTCCCAAATCGAACAAGATCTCTTCTTCCAGTGGATGAGAACTTTCTTCGCTAATATCAACAAAGACAGCCCTTGTACGATCCTCACGAGTATCACAACTGATTTCGAAAAGAACAGGACAAATCTCGTCGGTTGCAGCATAACTTTTCGCGAAAGCCAAAGCTCGACCACGACGGAGACTGCTGGACCAAAAGCCTTGATTACATATCAAAAGATTGACACTCTTCATTAGTCGATCAACTTCCGTCCGATGTAAACGAACACCACGATATACAGTTATTGTTGACGGCATCTTTCGACGTGGGTTATTTTGTCCATCGGCTAATCTTTTGGAAAGAGCAGCAATTAAAAATGAAAAACGCAGCAATTGCTCCAGATCTTCCGATCGCAGCGCTTTATTGATCATTTTGTAGACAAAGCATTCCTGCGTATACCAACGAAGTATATTTTCCAGACGATAATTCTGCTCGAAATCATCAATCTTCTCAAGTTCAAATGGATTATCACGATAGTAATGTCGACAAAATCTGATCATTTCTTGCTTCGTATCTTCACTGTAAGCTTGGTGGAGAATGATTTCTCTTGCTAATTGGAACCAGATGAATTTGGCAGAGAGTTCAGTGCCGTCTTGAGTCGAAGGATGATAATAATCTAGGATGGCGAACTCTTGAAATAATTGGTTAAGGAAAGAAACTCGTTGTTTAACAAATTCTAGTAAGCATTCGAAATCGACCACCAAATCGAGAATTTTCCTGAATTGACCTTTTAAACTTAGGTAAGAATTTCTTTTGTAACAAAAGATAAAGACCGAGTCAACCTGTTTTAGTTCAATAACATTTGGTAAGAATCCTGATCTTTTCGCACATGTTCCTGATGTAATAACAATAATTTTCTTGTCCGTACTGGTTTGAATCGATTCAGTGCATGGGTCTTCTTTGTCATTGAAGTAAATAAAATCAACCAGCTTTCGTAGACGTGAAATATATGTTTCTCGAGCTTTGCTGGCTTCTAGGTTCGGGTCGAACCATACAATACCTATTTGGTGTTTGTTTTCATCATCGTTCATATTCGTTTCTCAATGTTTATACAGTGTATTGCGTTTTTTCCTTTTGTTATATAACATGATCATAAAAGACAGAGAAAAGATGAAAATAAATTCAACATCAATTTTTTTCGTCTTCGACGTAGTACTCACTTGCGTAGCATGTCTATTTTTTTCAATTATTCCACTTCAAGAGCTCGCTCAACTATTGACAGTAATTTGCAGAGATCAATATGTGGGTAGTTTCACCGGAAATCTCCCACCTTATACAAAAGTATTTCCGCCCGAGCTGA